AGCGGCTTGCCGTTGCTGTGTTCGGTTTGCTGCCCGCGTATTTTCCCCGCTGACTGTTTCCACCCCAGGCACCATTTTCTTCCGCCTTTCTAACGACCGATGCTCTGATTGAAACGGACTAAATTCATTCCTAGTTTCTCAACTTTGGGTAAATACCTACTGCGCTTTATATGAAGGAACTCCGAAAGTTTGCTTTTAGCCTACGGTCCTAAAACTGCGAGACGAAAAGGTTTGTCCGTAACGAAAAAACTTAGCGAGTGCAGCTCCATTTAGCTGTCACATCAACCGTCGTATTTTTGTTTAAGACGCAGCCGCTGCTCTAAAGCGTCCCCACTGCCACAACTACGACCCTGAAAGCTAGCCAACTTTTCCGATTCGCAAACCGTGACTTCAGTCGCTCGTTTCCTGTGTCGCGCCGAGTGTACCCCGTGCACCGGCGTTGTCCCCCGCACGCGTGCACAACATGCTGCTTCGGCGAGGCGTCGCTAACCTGGTGCGCCCGTTCGCAGGCGCCATCACGGCCAAGCTGTCGGTGCGCATGTCCCCGGGGCCGGGCTTCGAGGCCACGGACTTCGTGGCCACCGACTTCGGTTTCTACGACTGCAACCGGTACACGCAGTGCGGCCAGTGCGTGAGCGCGCCGTTCCCGTGCGACTGGTGTGTGGACGGGCACCGGTGCACGCACGACACGGCCGAGAACTGCCGCAACGACATCCTCGTTACCGGCGTCAAGGTACGACCAGCGCCGCGCCAGTCCGGTCGCCGGTGGTGGGATGTGGGCGCAACACACGTGCGGAGATCAGCACAGGCTTGTCGACCGGGTGCTGGGGTTTGTTCGTGGGTGTGGGCATGTGGGCTCGTGCGAAGGCGACGTTTGGAATGTAATTGTATCGACGGGTTGCATTCGACTCACATGTGTTCGTCGCACGGTTTATCCTCTCAGCGCTCTTAAAATTTACGGACTACGTTCATCTCCTGTACTGCCTGGGCCTCTCGTCGCTGTCTTCGCCGCCGCAACACTTGGCGGAGTGCGCTTGGCTTTAAGCCGGAGGCACTTGTCGATCCGCGTGCTGGAGTAATGTACGAGGATGATAAATCGGGTGGGGAGCACGCTTGACCAGGCTTTTCTCGTACGTGCTAGCACTTTCTGCCCAGGCGTGGATGATAGCGTCAGACACATGGCCCACCGAACTCACGGCCACACATTGGACGAATTGTCGGCTCCCCTGCGCCTGCCTGACCCACTGATTGGTGTAGCCACTACTGGGCGCGGACTGCGGAGATATATCCCAGAAGTTTTCCCATAAGTCACCTCCTATTTTGCCCGTAGAGCTTACGTTTTCACCTTTACCCATTTGCCCTGTTAACCCTTTCAAAATGCCATTTTCAGGTCACGTTCCCCTCAGGCACCAGCATGACCCTTCCAGTCTTGGTCTGTCCTCTTCAATCTCAGAGGCATGGCTACACCCATAGAGCCGCCCACTCTACTTTCGCTATGCTGCCATGGGTGATCACACCGTGCGCCGATATGTCCCGGCGGAAGCGCTTCACGTCGGCCCTGCCCGTTCGTTGAGGGCCGCTGAATTAGTGATGCGTTCGACACCACTCAGCGGTTTAGTGTGGGGCCGGCCCGTAAAGCACACGATCGGGCGGCCGGCCGCGGCTGTCGGATGAGTCAGCCGTTCACCGGTGCCCGCCGTGGGAAACTGACAGCCACCGGCCGTGCTCACGACCGGACGGACGTGTCCGGTGCGCGGGCTGGCGGGCGTGCTGACGGAGGAGTACGGCGCGCGGGCCGGCGGACGTGCTGACCACCGGACGGACATGTGCGGCGCGCGGGCCGGTGGACGTGCTGACCACCGGACAGACATGTGCGGCGCGCGGGGCGGTGGACGTGCTGACGACTGGACGGACGTGTACGGCGCGCGGGCCGGCGGGCGTGCTGACGAAGTAGTACGGCGCGCGGGCCGGCGGATGTGCTGACGACCGGACGGACGTGTACGGCGCGCGGGCTGCCGGACGTGCTGACGGACGCCGCTCGCCGTCACCAGCGGCGGCTGAAGGCCGGCGGCGGCGTCTGACGACGTCTGCGGCTTGTCGGCGCGCTGTTTTTGGCTGCGGGCGCACGGTTTACCATTGGGCACCGATGACTTCATGATTCTCGTCCTGACCAGGCGTGGCCTTCACACAGACCGCACCCGTCGAGATGCAAACTCACCGTAATAGCCTCATTAAGCCCTAGTGGTAGTGGCAGGGCACTCGGCCGTTGTCCATCCTTTGAGTGCAGAGCCATTGACTGTCGCTTGGGGCCGCGTCCCACGGCCGGGCCCGTGCCTTTGGCCGCGTTGTCTCCGGCCGTCGTGGCCAGAGCCGCGTCCAATTAGTGGGCCGCGGGGCGACCCGCACGCGCCGCCGCCCGCAGCGCGCCACATTGCCTCCGCCGGCGGCGTCCGTCGGCCGCACTGGACGCTGTTTGCGACGTGGCATCCGCCGTAGGGCGGGACGCCGGAGCCTGGGGAGCGATGGCGCCCGACGGCTCGCGCCGCGCCGCGGCCGGTGCCGCTCCCGGCGCCAAGGAGACGCCGCTGACGCGCGGAGATTTGTGGGGCTGTCCGGGCGGCGACGTCGGCTGTGTGGCGGCCCGCCGCGCCCGCCGACGGCCGGATAAGCGGCGGTGAGAAGCGCCGGCGGCCGCGCAGCCCGCGTGTTTCGTCCATTATCGAGCCTTTCATCGCGCGTCACTGTCACCCAGTCTTCGGCGCAGCTTCCCGAAGTCGCCACGGCTGACATGCAGATGCTCGTCGCGCTTCGTGAAGGCCCATTAGCGATGCATTGAATTCGGCTCTGACCCTGAACGCGGGACGACGATGCGCGCGGCCTGTGCTGAACATTGAAGGATGGGCCGGAACAGTGGAACAGCGCGCGGTGCGAGCGTGCCCACGGGCTCCTCTGGCAGCAGCTGACGCAGCTCCGGGTCCCCCGGCCTGCCGATTACTGGCGGGACGCCATGCAGCCAGAATGCCGTTAAAGTGCCGGTGTGCCGTTGGCGACTGCGACGGCTTCTGTTCTCGCTCTCGCGTCACAAACGGCACCTATGGGCGGGAAAGGCATGACTGGTGGTTTGTTACATCTTACTGAGGCAGGAGCGCTTGGCTGACTGCATTGGCTTGGCTTGGCTGACTAACTTGGCTTGGCTGACCAACCCTCCCACGTTTCCTACTCTTTTGCCCTGTACTCCTCAACTCTCATCCTCCTAGTTTCTGCCCGTCACGCGTTAGCGCTCGCTCCCAGTCCGACCGCCTGAGACGCGCTATGCACTGTCGGAACTGGGAGGCGTCGAGCGCAGTGTCTGCGACGCGCGCACCAGACCTCCCCCGGGCCCGGCGCACTGTTTACCCCACGCCCGGCGGAGATGCTGATCGCGCCACCGGCGCGGATTAGGCCTCGTTAGCTGCCGAGTGTTCGGCAGACCCGCCGCCCAACTTTCCCGCTGCCGGCGCAAATCGCCAGCTTGATCCCCGCCGATCCGGCGGCGGCGGCGGCTAAGTAGCAGGCCGTCACGACGGGGCCTTGTAAGGCCGCGGAGGGTTTCCTGGTGGCGGCCGCCGCGGCCTGGCATCAGATACGGGCGACGGCCGGCGCCGGTCGCGGCCCGGCCGCGTTCTTCCTGGCCGGACCCGCCGCCGGCCGCGGTCTTCCTGGCCGGACCCGCCGCCGGCCGCGCTCTTCCTGGCCGGACCCGCCGCCGGCCGGGCGCTCCACGGGATGCGCTCGAACGTCATAAAATAGCTTCAGGAAGCGGGACGGCGAGTTGCTCTGGTAGTGGATTCTGCCGTACATTTGGAAATTAGGATACTCTTGTGTCTGCACTGTGTGCCATGCAATTTGGTTGCGGACGGTACCTACATCAGTTTGTTAAACTACCTACGGCTGATTGGGGCGAAGTGTGCGAGTTTTGATACCTGTAAACGAGTTAACCCACGAGTTTTGGGACCTGTTGACAGTTTGCAGTTCAAAACTGGACGCCTGGTAGTCAAGTAGTTGCGGTCAAGTAGTCTGGTGTGCATCAGCGAGCATGACTACAGATTACCGCCACTTTTGAACAACGGCTGGGTCTCGCTGCGTGACGACGCTGATGTGCTAGGCTAATCCTGGGCGTCCAGAAGCTGCATGATGACTATCTTGACTGGTACCTGTAGCGCCCTAAATCTTGCGGCACCAAACGGGGCGTGTGATTGGCGTTGACAGTTGAGTTGCTAGGAGACGCCTCGAGCCGTCCGCTATGTGACAGATGGCGCCGACGCGCACGTACGTGGCATTCTGACGTCTTGACGGCCGATCGTATCGGACCGGCCCTCACTATGGTAACCGTTTGGCAACTAATTGTGTTGGCCTTTGCGGGCGTTAAAAACAGCGGTAACATTCCGCTTTTGACAGCGGCCGGTTTAACAGCGGTACATTTGACATGACTCACGCTTCTCCTGCGTTGCACTGGCCTTCATCAGCGAAACAATGCGACCAATCTGTCGGCTTGTAGCACTGCACATAACCGCCAGTACGGAATTCATACCTTATAAGTAGACGCCAATATCAGCTGGGATCAAAGCGCTGTTCATGATGACTCAGGGGCTGGTCCCGGAAGCGCGGCCAGCATCGAGCGGCACTTCGTCTCGAAGTCAGTGGTCGGAATGTCAAATGTCAGCGCTTGCCGAGCTGGCCTTGCCGCTATCCCGGACATGTTTACCCTCCGCCGGCGAGCTGGCGCGCGCGGTGCTGCCGCCGCCTGACACCACAGGCTCTCGTCGGCACGGCCGCGTGCCGCGTGACCCGTGTTAGAGGTCGGCGAGCCGCGGCGACATGTGCGGCGTCTGGTCCTGGGACCTGATCTGGCCTGATCTGACTTGATCTGACCCGATCTGACCCGATCTGACCCGATATGTACCGATCTGACCTGATCTGGCCTGATCTGACCTGATGTGACTTGATCTGACCTTCGACAGCGGATCGGCCCCAGCATCCGCAGCGGGCCCGGCTTCTGCCCCCGGATCAACACCACCATCGAGGGCGACGTCGAGCTGCTCGTGCCCTCCGGCAGCCAGCGCGCCGTCGTCGTCCGCGTGGAAAACATCCCCGTGAGTGGGGTGCGACTGGGCATGACGCCGGGTCATCATGACTGGTGTGTTGTGGTTAAGTGGGGCTTCCAATCCGCCGATCATTCTAGGCTGCTGAGGGAGAGGAAGGGATGAGGGCCGCAAGAGTGAGGCGTGCCAAGGCGAAGGTCTAAAATAGCATTACGGAAGCGTTGAGGTTTCTAAAGCATGCGTTTCAAATTCAATATTATTTTTTTCGCAGCACATCAAAGTCGCGCCTTTCTCTATAAGAACCCCGCCGCGGACCCCGCCGCGGGGCCCGCCGCGGTAGGACAGGTCCAGCGAGTTAGGGGCGGCGAGAGAACAGGTCCAGCGAGTTAGGGGCGGCGAGAGAGGTAGGGCGGATCCAGCGAGTTAGGGGCGGCGAGAGAGGTAGAACAGGTCCAGCGAGTTAGGGGCGGCGAGAGAGGTAGAACAGGTCCAGCGAGTTAGGGGCGACGAGAGAGGTAGGGCGGATCCAGCGAGTTAGGGGCGACGAGAGAGGTAGGGCGGATCCAGCGAGTTAGGGGCGGCGAGAGAGGTAGAACAGGTCCAGCGAGTTAGGGGCGACGAGAGAGGTAGGGGCGGACCCAGCGAGTTAGGGGCGGCGAGAGAGGTAGAAACAGGTCCAAGCGAGTTAGGGGCGGCGAGAGAGGTAGGGCTGATCCAGCGAGTTAGGGGCGGCGAGAGAGGTAGAACAGGTCCAGCGAGTTAGGGGGCGACGAGAGAGGTAGGGCGGATCCAGCGAGTTAGGGGGCGGCGAGAGAGGTAGAACAGGTCCAGCGAGTTAGGGGCGGCGAGAGAGGTAGGGCGGATCCAGCGAGTTAGGGGCGGCGAGAGAGGTAGGGCAGGTCCAGCGAGTTAGGGGCGGCGAGAGAGGTAGGGCGGATCCAGCGAGTTAGGGGCGGCAAGAGAGGTAGGGCAGGTCCAGCGAGCACCTGTCCTACCTCTCACCCTGCGGGGTCCGCCACGACAGTGTCCTGACAGGGCGGGGTATGGCCGCCCGGCGAGGCGGTCGTGTTGGGCGCGCCTTCAGAGCCGCCGCTCAGCGCCCAATGTAATTAGTGTGCGGCCGGCGACGTCCTGCGGCCGGGGCCGCGCTGTCTCCCGCCGCCGATACCGACCGAGTCGAGGCGGCGTCGGACGCCGCCGCCGTCTGGCTCTCTGTGGGGGCGGAGGGGACCCAACAAGCTGGTGACCACGGCGCCTTGCCCGGAGGCCGGAGCGCGCTGGCGTGGGCTTCGGGAGGGTCACCTCGCGACCTTGGAGCGGGCTCTGTTATCCTCGAGCGGTCCGTGTTCTGTGTGACTGCCGCATGGGGCCTGGCTCATGTGTCCCGTGACGTGTGTGACAAGCGAACCCTCCGGAGGCGGTCGCGCGCTAGCCAACTGATGCGCCGCGGAAAGGACACCGTGGCGTTATTTGAAATATATGAGCCGAATCGGGCTGTTGCTTGCGACTTGTTCGAACTGACCTTTGCCGCTTGACGTGATTCTCATGCCCTGGAGCACCCAACCTACGTGAAGGAGCTAACCCTCGATGGGCTGACCTGCAGCCGGTGTTGACCTGCGCATCGTGTCCGTTCCAGCGGCTGATAGCGCAGGGTCGGTTCATGTGCCAGTTCAACATAGAGGGTCGAGTCATCTCTGCCGGCGCCTCGCCGCTCGGCAGCAACATCTATTGCCAGGAGATGGAGTTCTCGTACAACGCCAAGCGGCCCAACACAACGGCTGCGTTTGCCGTCATCTGGAATGGCAACAAGCCGTTGGACAACCCAAAGAACGTCCACGGTGAGTGGCGTCAGCTGTGTGCATCGCTGCATGTGTTGAAATTGGTAATAAAAACATGTTTCACCGAGTTTCAACGAGTCGAGGGGGGGGGGGGGTTTCATGCGCTTCAACTGCACGGTCAGAGTATTTCACCGGGTGCATCCAGCTTCAGCAGATCGCGCAGGCTGTGGCGTGCTGGATTCTGTTAGCGAGGTTTCTTGATACGGAGTTCTTGTGACGCAGCTTCTGAGAAACTATGGCCCTGAAAGCATGTTCTTTACGAGGGTGGCGCCGGATGGAGAGCGCTGCTGAGAGATGTCATCAGGCTGTCAGCGGTGTTCGTCCAGAATGACGGTTTTTCTAGGTGCTTCCACCTTTTCTGCGATGTCCGGCATTGTGTTGCGTGGCCTCGCGAAACAGCGTGTGGCGAGGCTATTCTTAGCCTGAGGTTGCGGCTAGCCAATATGAGATGTCCAGCTCCGAGCCGAGCTGAACAGGCTGGCTGTGTGAGACCGGGGAGCGCAGCGGCAGCCATCCTCCCGTCGCGCTCGACCCAGCCTCGCACACTGTCGTGGCGGCACGCTTTGGCCTTGCCTGTGGGTTGGGCTGTCGAGCCCGCTGTTGTGCCGCGCCTCTGCCGCGTGGCGCTGCGCGGGGCGTTATTGGCCAGCTCTGCCCTTCCAACCCGATGGCCCGGGCGCGGGGGCGGCCGGGGGTTGGCGGAGGTCGGCCCGGCGGGGGCAGAGGGGCAGGAAGACGCGGGGGCGGCCGGGGGGGCGGCAGAGGTCGGCCCGGCGAGGGCAGAGGGGCAGGAGGACACGGGGGCGGCCGGGGGGGGGGGGCAGACGGCCGGGGTCTGTTGACTCGCGCCGTGACGTCGGCTCGGCCTGGCGGCGTGGAGCTCGCTTCGTCGTTCTCGTCTGCCGTCTGCTGCCTGCCCCGTCCCCTCCCCCACACCGCTTTGTCGACGGGGCCGGTGTCGGCCGCGCGGTCTCTTAGGAGCATTGTTGGGATATTGGATGCTGGCCGGATCGGCGTTTTCCGAGGAGGCGAGAGCGATGGGGAGTGACCCAGTATGGCAGTCATGGCCGGCCGGCGCTGGAAGCGGCCCAGGGGACGGGACAAGGCGTCGCCGGGCACGGCTGAGCCACCGACGGGCTGGGGCCGCTCTCCTCATCGGTGCCGTCATGAAGCGGAAGCCTGCGCTAGCGTGTTGAAGAGGTGTTTAGATGGAACTTGGTGGTGCAGGCGTGGTCATTGCTGTCATGTGGAACCGCCAGTGCAAATGAATTCTTGCTACATAGGCTACCGCCACTGATATGAGACGGTCATGCGTCTTAATAATACTAAAAAATTCGGTGTTTGGAGATGGCTGCCTACCAAATTTACGTTGTCGACACTTCTTCGCAACGGTCTGCGTTTTGTCTCCTGACCTGAAGCCTCCGATCAGAAGGGCTTGGGTGTTCCCCCGATCACTTCAAACAGCGTCTCATGCTTTACGATCAGAAGGGCTTGGGTGTTCCCCCGATCACTTCAAACATCGTCTCATGCTTTACGATCAGAAGGGCTTGGGTGTTCCCCCGATCACTTCAAACAGCGTCTCATGCCTTACGATCAGAAGGGCTTGGGTGTTCCCCGATCACTTCAAACAGCGTCTCATGCTTTACGATCAGAAGGGCTTGGGTGTTCCCCCGATCACTTCAAACAGCGTCTCATGCCTTACGATCAGAAGGGCTTGGGTGTTCCCCCGATCACTTCAAACAGCGTCTCATGCTTTACGATCAGAAGGGCTTGGGTGTTCCCCCGATCACTTCAAACATCGTCTCATGCTTTACGATCAGAAGGGCTTGGGTGTTCCCCCGATCACTTCAAACAGCGTCTCATGCTTTACGATCAGAAGGGCTTGAGTGTTCCCCCGATCACTTCAAACATCGTCTCATGCTTTACGATCAGAAGGGCTTGGGTGTTCCCGATCACTTCAAACAGCGTCTCATGCTTTACGATCAGAAGGGCTTGGGTGTTCCCGACCACTTCAAACAGCGTCTCATGCTTCAGGCTGCTCGATTGCCACGTTTTTTACTTTCGCGTTGTTGGGTGTCATTTTGGGATGCAATAGCATTCATGTGTGGTGATGTAACGATGTCTGTGCTAAGGTCACGAAATGTGGCGTGACGTATTCCATACCGCATACGGTGACTGGGTCCGTAATGTCGTGATTCCCACTGATTAGCCGCCTTGCGTAACTTCCAACAGATGGCGTGCCGCCGACCGTATCGTCGTTGCCCCACGCTCGCGCTCCTGTAATCACCGATGACTCTCGGGCGCGCTCCATTGTCCATGTGTGCGTCCGTCTTCCGCGACACGATTGTAAGCTGCACATGACTGCTGGACTGTGCATGCCAACGCGGAGGCTTCACATATTCATATTGATAATCATGATTGCATTGATTGGGCTGGATGGTTTGGCGGATGATATTTGTGCTAAGTCATCATGCACACGTGGCTTTTTCTGGTGTTAGACTAGATTAAGATCGCGATCCCGCAATACATTGGGGAATGCAAATCACTTTTTGACCTAATGACCTTGCGCGGCCTGACCGGATCCCGTTGCAGTTCTAGTGCGCACACAGCGTCGTTCGTGCTGTGCTCTGACGTGACCTGACCTGTTGCAGTGCTAGTATACCGGTGTTCGGAGATGGCCGACAACTGTGGCGAGTGTCTGGCGCTGGAGCCGCGCTTCCACTGCGGCTGGTGTCAGACGACCGGACAGTGCCAGATTCGGGACCAGTGCGCCGCTGACAACTGGCTCGACCGCGACCAGCCCTGCCCTAATCCCCAGGTTGGTGCTCACCTGCCCTGCCCCAATCCCCAGGTCGGTGCTCATCTGCCTTGCCCCAATCCCCAGGTCAGTGCTCACCTGCCCTGCCCCAGTCCCCAGGTCGGTGCTTGCCTTCTCTGCCCCATCCCCAGGTCAGTGCTCACCTGCCCTGCCCCATCCCCCAGGTCAGTGCTCACCTGCGCTGCCCCAGTCCCCAGGCCGGTGCTCACCTTCCCTGCCCCATCCAATTGGTCGGGGCTCACAACCCCGTGGGGCAGCGGCGGCTTGCGGCCGGGACGTGCGTGTCGCGCGGCCGTGCGTGTGTCCGTGCGGGCCGCGGTACGATCCGTGCGGGCCGCGTGTGGTCCAGTGTTCCGGATCAGGCTTTAATTCCGTTCGTTCGGCGGCGCAGAGTTCAGAACCGAATGGGTTTGCAAGATTGGGTTGGGTGATGACTGAAGGAACTCGTCCGACTGTGCTATTTGGAACGGAACGGTGCGAGAGTCAGATGACGTCGTGGTAATCATTCACGCGAGAGCCGCTGGCCGGGCGGCCATGTTGAAAAATGACTGACTTGTTTAGACTGGGACCTGGGAAGCAAACGATCAGCCTCGCGTGTTTCCACGTTCAGGGCAGGCTGTAGCGATTGCTACAAGCCGATGCGCAGCTGATCACCACCCCACTCCCATCCGGAAGAGGCCAACGCCTACCCAGGTCCGCAGCGCCATGATCAGTGCTGCTGCTCATCCGCCAGGTGCACGAGTTCAGCCCCAAGTCTGGTCCGTATGAGGGCGGCACCAACATCACCATCACCGGCATCAATCTGGGCAAGGACTTCGGGGATATCTACGACCAGGTCACAGTGGCCGGCGTGCCGTGCAGGCCTATTGAGTCGCTGTATGTGAAGACCCGCCAGATAGTCTGTGAGGTCGACGGACCGGGTACCAGAGAGGTAAGGCGGAGGCTTGGATGGATTGGATGGCGGGGGTGGGGAGGGGTGACGGTTGGATCCGTAGGCCAGGGATGGGACGGGTGTGTCTGTCCGAGATGGCCTCATCAGTTATGAGTGCATACCGTTATGCTTCGAACGGTGAACGCCTTTGATCAGTTCGGCTGTACAGTTTGCATATGGGGCGGTATTTTTTCATCATTGATTATTTTTGAGGAGTACGTGATTTCACTCCAAGCACGGTGTGCTAAAACTGGGCCGAAACCGAACCAACACCGGACCACGCACCACCGAGTCGCCCGTGACGCCCCCTCCCCCTGCCTGCAGTACCTGAGCGGCCCGGTGCTGGTACGCGTCGCCAGCTACCAGGCCAAGTCGGAGCAGAACTACCGCTTCGTCGACCCTCGCATCGAGCGCATCGCGCCCGAGCGCGGGCCGCGTTCGGGCGGCACGCGGCTGCGCATCTTCGGCCTGCACATGGACGCCGGCCTGCTCATCCGCGCCCAGATCAACGAGCTGCCGTGTCGCGTGCTGGAGACGGCCTCCACTTACGCCGTGTGCGTGACCTCGGCGGCGGCCTACACCACCGAGGGCCGGCTCAGCATGACGTTCGACCGGTCGAAGCGGCTGCTGGCCGGCCAGACGTACACCTACGTGGACGACCCGCAGGTGCTGGAGGTGACGAGCGGCCCGAACACGCAGTACAAGGTGCCGAAGGGCGTGCCGTCCGGCGGTATCCGGGTCAGCGTGCGCGGCCGGAACCTGCAGCACGTCCAGGAGCCGCGTATGGCCGTGCAGCACGCCGGCCGAGAGTACCTCAGCGTGAGTATGCCGCCGCTGCCGCCGCCGGGGGAAGGGGCGCGCGCCACCGGAGCCTGGCCGGGTCCCCGCCGGCCGCGCGCCGGACGTGAATGATTGAACGACCGTTTGGCGGCGTGGGAGCGCGTGGACGGGGCGGGAGTGAGGTCCTTCGGCCGTCAGGCTGGTCCATCGCCTCCCGGCTGGGTAGCGGACGTTGTCCGGGTGAATGGTTTTTCAGTGTTTTGGTTTGGCCGCACGCCAGCAGCAGTCTTTTCGATAGATGGTGGCTGGTGTGTTTGAGCCCGGATCCCAGACGGCCTTCAGCAGACTCCGCGCCGCCTGGCTGGGCGTCTCCGAGGTGCCGCCAGCCGCCCGCACGTCACGGGCCAGCGTCTGTGTGACGGTCTCGAAGCTCGCACGGCAGACGGTCGCGTCACTACGCCGCGTCCGCTGTCCCGCAGGAGCCGTGCAAGGTGCTGACGGACGAGCTGATGACGTGCATGACGCCGCTCATCCCCGCCTTCCTCGATCCGGACAGCATCAGACCGGAAAAACCCGAGCTGCTCGACTACGGCTTCGTCATGGACAACGTAAGTCACGGGAGCTCCTTGTGGTGCGGCCCGTCTTGCGGTCATACGCTCCGCACGTGACGCTGCTCCTTGATGGAAACGGAACATGCGCTTAAAGAGTGGAAATTATTTTTGGAGTGGTAATCATCGCTGTTCATTATTTACCGGAAACGAATCAGGCTTCAAAACGGCTACGTGTTCTGTGAACTGTTTTTGCCGTTTGGTTTCCGTACCGGTTTTTTGGAGTGTATCGCACGTTCCACCGCACACGTCGGCTCACCTCTGCGCTGCGGCGGCGGCGCCGGGTGAGCTCACTGACCTCTGGGCCGCGGGACACAGGTGCGGAGCGTACAGAACATCTCCACCCACGGCGGCAACGGCAAGTTCCAGCTGTTCCCGGACCCCGTCTACATGCCCTTCAGGGACGAGGATGGCATCAAGTACTACAAGAGCGACTACCTCACCATCAATGTGAGCCCGCGTGGGGCTTCTGGCCTCGCAGACACAGAGGTGCCGTGAAATGTCGCGAGGTCTTGAGGATTTAGTCCGGACCTCGCAGGCTGGTGATCAGTGTTGATGGTAACAGTGCTGTTTGGCGGCCCCTGACCCTGCCATCCGAACGTAATATTCCGGGTCAACGGCATAATTTTACGGCGATCTTTTTGCGTGCCCCAACGCTCGGCACGGTTTATCCCGCCCCGGAACGTCATCTGACCTTTAGCGCGGCCGCTGCCATCGGCCGCAGGCCATGGCAGGCAGGGGCAAACGATGAGCGCCGAGAGTGACTCGAACCCACCCCGCCACGCATGGGGGAATGGGAATGCAGGTGCTCCAATGTCATCGAGTGACGTAACAAATCCAGTTTTGAATGAGCAAAACTGTCGCGTGACGTAACGTTACACACGCTGCCGCAAGGAGATGGTCAACGTTGGCATACAGATGCTCGTGCGGGATCATCAGCCGGGTCAGCGATGATCTCGATCGTCGTTCGCCCTGCCTTCAGGGACGGAACCTCAACTGGGCCTGCAAAGACACGGACGTCACCGTCCACATCGGCACGGCCTTCTGCAACGTGACCTCGCTCTCGCGAAATCAACTGACCTGCAAGCCGCCCAGCAAGGCGCCCATGGCCATTGGCAGCGATGGACAGCCCACCGATCGCCAGCTGCCGCACGTGGTGGTTAGTGTGCGCTGGGATAGATGGCAGCACGGGTAGCACCTGGCGCTGCTACCCGGGTATGCTGCTTGAATGCGCAAAAAATATTGCTACGGAGATGTGGATGTGGATCAGATGAAAAATGTCTAGAGGTGTATCATCACAAATTAGCATGTGGTGCAGTAGATGATTTGCATTCGTTCACGCTATTTCCGTCACGAATTATTTCAAGCTCCGTGAGGAACTATTCTGCGCTCGTATGTGTCCCTGTCTCACGTGTTCAGTCTTTTCTGACCCCCTCCCCTCCCTGACTCGTCTTTACCCGGCCGTCCTCCAGGTCCGGATCGGCAACAGGCTCAACTACACGATCGGTCGGCTCTCGTACGCGGCAGCGGCTGTCGGAGGCGGAGCACTACCTCAGGATGTACGTGGAAAATAGGCGGCCTCCTCTGGCTACGATCGCTTCGTGCAGCGGGAGTCTGAGCCCCGCCCGCCTCAGTCGGGCATTTGGGAGACACACTGTGCCGTTGATGTATTGGGCATGCCAGTGTTACAGGGAACGCTACAGGGAGCGTTTAATGTCGAAATATGTTATCTTGACTCGGGATGTACTCAAGTGCTTGATCGTTTGCTAGCGTCTTACCATTAGCGCGGTTGCGTGTAGTCGGGTTTAAACGCTGCAAATGTGCGAAATATATAACTTCCGCCGCTCGTGTCTGATTGAAAGAAGAGGAAATGTGATTGTGCTCTACTGCCGTACTCACTTCCGTCCGTTCCACCCATGAAACACGCCACACCGACCACTCGCCAGTGCACATTAGTGCTTGTCAACTACTGCGGCTCAGCACAGCACCAATAGATGGTACTGTGTTGCTGCTGCCGTGAGCCAGCTGTCGGCGCGCTTCTGACCGGCAACCCTGGTCTCCCCCGCTGCGAAGGTGATTATCGGTGTGGTCGTGGGCGGTGCGGTGCTGCTGCTGCTCGTTTTCGTCATCCTGGTCCTGTACCGGCGCAAGTCGTCCGAGAGCTCGCGTGTGCTAAAGAACATGCAGGAGCAGATGGACGTGCTGGAGCTGCGCGTGGCCGCCGAGTGCAAGGAAGGTGAGTGTGGCGGACGAGCACCGGCGACCGGCCGGGCGGCGGCGATCTTGATAGACGCTCCGGCGAGTCTTGGTGGCGGCTTAGATTTGGTTTGACAAAGGAATTACTCGGGCTGTGGTCGCCGCCAGGCGCTTTGACTTGCACTCAGCTTGGTGGACTGTTTTTTCTCCGGTCTTCGTCGGGTGGCAGTTGCACTGAAATTGACCCAAGGATGGTTGACGTGCCCTCTTGTGTGTATCCAAGCCTTGACAATTTCTGGCAGCCTCGACGCTCGGACCGCTTGTCTCGTGATTTATATTCATCGGTGGTTGTGCGGTTAGAGCTGATGCCTGTAAGTTTGGGGATTTTGTGTTCGAAGTCTGGGGATGCCAGAAGCCTTTGCTGCTATGATGCTTACGCTCGCAAACCGCGCCAACCCTGGTTCCTCTCAGGACCAAAGAGCAGCTGACGACGGCCGTTGAAGTCACGAGCCGAAATGGCGTGTGCAGAATAACGCGTTAACGAGGAACCATAGTCTGAATAATCGTTTCACCGAGGCAAACTTTTCAAGACGAGTGCATTTACTCATAAACAGACTAAGAAGGCCAATAGTTCGAGTAGATATTTTGTCAGTGCTGACACTGCCTCCTACATATGCTTTGGGACGACATGCTTGTCCTGCTTTGACCTTGGGGACTGGTAGAGTTCTTTGGCGATGCTGTAAAATGAGATGCGATCTCGTCTGTTGCTAACAGGAGGTACGATCGCTTTTGTTGCTATGCTTCGCCGTATGGAAGCTCAGACACCACAGACACCACAGGCAGACACAACAGTCGAGAGATGTATGCGCGAATTACATGTGTTGGTGGCATGAATGTTTCCTTTGTTATAATTTTATCCCTTATGGCATTTCTTAACCGCAGTTTGTCCTTTATTGAATTCCGTTATAGCGGTATTCATCGTCCAAAGAGTGGTTAATTTTTCCGTTTTTGCTAGCTGCACGCACGCATTCCGTTTTGTTTCGAGCGTCTCGTTTCGGGCGCCGGTACAGCACGCGGGCCAGCTGTCGCGTCCTCTGGTGCTCCCGCCGTCTGGGTCAGCCACGCTCACGGCCGCCGTCTGCTCCGCCGCTTCAGCGTTCGCGGAGCTGCAGACGGAGATGACGGACCTGACGTCGGACATCACCGGCTTCGGCATCCCGTTCCTCGAGTACCGCGCCTACTGCATGAAGATCCTGTTCCCGAGCCAGGAGGACCACCCGGTGCTGCAGTGGAACAACCGGCCCGACTTGCAGCGTCGCGAGAAGGGGCTGCGCCTCTTCGGCCAGCTCATCATCAACAAAACCTTCCTGCTGCTCTTCATCCGTACCCTGGAGAGCAACCGATACTTCAGCATGCGCGACAGGTGAGCGCGTCGCGGTAGGAGTGCGCTGGCCGTTTCCTCTATCTGTTCATATCTCAACCGAATGGTACGTGTAGATGCTTCATGGGAGCAGTCGCGCCGTCTCTGACACGGTCAGACAGAGTCGTGGCAGCGTGCTAGCTGGGGCGGTTCGCATCGCACGCCTCAGCACCAGCGCGGTGCTGGCAGCGCGGCCTCGCGGGTCCGGCTATTCGAAGTGACCGCCCTCAAAGACGAGCAACCGTCGTGCGCACCGCAAGAGACAGTGCTGTGACCGGACCTGATATCTTCTCGCAGGGTGAATGTGGCCTCGCTGATCATGGTGACACTCCAGTGTCGGATGGAGTACTGCACGGACATCCTGAAGACGCTGCTCTCGGAGCTGATCGAGAAGTGCACAGAGTGCAACGGTTCCCACCCCAAGCTGCTTCTCAGGAGGTAAGCTGGCGCTGCCACCAGCCCTGCTGTATCTGTCCACGAGCGGAGGATGGGAAGTTGTGCAGGCTGGTGTGGTGCTAATGGGATCAGTCACATGTAATGAGTCCCTCAGCGACATAGCATAGTCACCACAGTAGGCACGTCGTCGACACACCCACAGACAGCATCATGCACTGATAGGGACCTCCAATGACAACGAAATGTCGCCACTGGTTAAATCATTGCTAGACCGTAAAAGGACTGCTAAACCGTATTCCTCCAGACGCCACCTTTGCAATTTCTTACTCTAGTCCATGCTATTGACAACCACGCGTTTCTTTTCCTGTTTGTGTTTGAGGCCTGTAATTGGCGCGTGGTTCCGGCCACCTTCGTGCCCCGATTTCACCTGTCCACGGCTCGCTCGGCGAGCTCGATTCTCCGCGCCCTCTTCCGAGCCCCGACGCACCCCAACCCACCCAACCCGCCGCCCGCAGGACCGAGTCAGTGGCGGAGAAGATGCTGTCCTCCTGGTTCACGTTCCTGCTGTACAAGTTCCTACGGGAGTGCGCCGGCGAGCCGCTGTACCTGCTGTACCGCGCCATCAAGCAGCAGGTGGACAAGGGCCCCGTGGACGCCGTAACCAGCGAGGCGCGCTACTCGCTCTCCGAGGAGAAACTCATCCGACAGCAGATCGACTTCACCTACATGGTCAGTAGAGGCTAGGGCGACGGTCGGGTTGATGAGGCTCACTGGTGCAGGTTGATGTGGGTTGCGTGTGTTTGGTGCGGGGTTACGGTGACCTTTGCATGCTGGTGTGATGGATTCCTGCGCCAGAAATATCTGCTTTCCGTGTATGATTGGACTTGCTGGCAAAGGGCTTAGGATGGCAAGATTTTCACCGTGCAATGCGCAGCGAATGTTTGCGTATTTTTTATTCCGGTCATCACGTGCTAGCTAGGTATTCAATGGCGATGCCATAGTTTTATCGGCGCACAACATCTGCACGCTTTTTCGAACTCGATTGTCCGTGTGTGACTGGAACGGCTGCCCGCCCCTCGCAGACTATGTTAGCGCCGACCCCACGCGTGACCCGGCTCACCGTGCGCCCCCCCCCCCCTCGCAGACGGTGTACGTGTCGATGCCGCCACAGACCATCTACGTGTCGGGTCTGGACCCGCACCAGGACAACGCCGATATACCGGTGCGCGTGCTCAACACCGACACCATCACCCAGACCAAGGAGAAGAGCCTCGACTACATCTATCGCTCGACACCCTTCTCCTTGCGGCCGCGCAAGGAGGACCTTGACCTAGGTACGCTACACGGCTCTCAGATTTGTTTTTATGACTGTCACACCCGACCAGGTAACCGGACGGGACGCTCCTAATATCCCAGACCCGCAGCATGTCTCACGCTGACACGGAAACCAGAAGACCGGGTCGCAGCAGTCCCTGGTGAGAGGTGGAAAAAAACATGAAGAGTCAGATGGTAGGTCTGCAGCTGTGTTAGTCGCAGCAAACAGCATGCCAAGGCTAGGAACAGTCCTTTGCGTACGCTGGAATGTAACGGTCTGCTATGTTGTCTCTTACCATCTTGGTAGGTATATGAGCGCAGTCATAGTGAAACGGGCTTGCAGCTCAGTCACGTGAGTATGTGGGGACTGTCACCGAGTATGTGGGGGATGTGATGTCCATTCCAGCTTTGGCCGTTTGCGTGGCGGCTTGGATCGGCCGGCTGAGTGCAGTCTGCTGCTGTAAGCTAAGTATAGCATGCTGCTGCACGGACGTCCGATGGTGAGAGTGAGGGAAAGGGGGAGGGGGACCGGCGGAGCATTAACAACCTTGCACCAGAGACGGCGGCGGAAGTGGTCACAGGTGCCAGCCATTTGCTCATTTCCCTCAGGATTGGACGCTGACACGCAAACATGTTTTCGCTCGGCAGCGGTCGGCTCCGGGGGCGTCGCGAAGGCTTAGTTCCGGGTCATTTGGTGGCGGCGTGGCGTGTGGCATGTGTCCATCGTCGTCACGCTGCACAGTGCGTGCTGGAGCGCGCTGGCCGGTGTGTCGCAAAATGCCGCCATCTTCGCTCGAGACGGACCCGATGAGTGGGTTAGGCTGGATGTGTGTGGGCGAGTCACGCCGCCCGCCCGACTGACCTTCCCCGACCCCGCAGAGTGGCGCACGGGCAACTCGGGGCGGCTCATTCTTAACGACGAGGACTCCACCATCAAGCTGGAGGCCGGCTGGAAGAAGCTAAACACGCTGGCATATTACCGCGTGCCGGACGGCGCGCTGCTGACGCTCGTGCCCAAGCAGAGCTCGCTGTACAATCTGAGCATTCTGTCGGAGAAGTCGGACAAGTCGCACAAGTACGAGACGCTCAACCTGACCAAGTACGGCGCCCAGAGTCCGCCTCTCAGCCGAGCCATGAGCCCCACCAACCAGGAGAACGGCATCAAGGTGAGAGACGCCTGGCCCGGAGGCGGTCACGGGCGGCGTGCCGGTACGACCAGAGTTGGCGGGGTGAGGCGAGCACGCACGCGACCATGGTTCTGCGATACAGGCTATTAGCGTGCTGCTGGACGGTGTTGAGTTTGTGTCAGGGTTGTCGCTAGTTTTTACACGGATTATGTGGCTTAGTTCGCTCATTTGCCAAAGGCTGTCAGGTTTGTCACTACCTTTACACGGATCCCGCGGTTTATGTGTGTGTGTTTGTGGCCCTTTATCGTTGCATGCTTGTTCGTCCCTGCGCTCTGTATAAATTCGAATCGGCCAATCACGGAATGTCCTGTTGAGTCCAACGCCGCTTAGAGAGTACGCTCATCCGCAGTTGCGTGGATCAGTCATAGTCACGCGTCTTCACCCCGTCACCGCTGACCGGGTCATCCGCTTCAGGTGTGGCATCTGGTGCGCCACTCTGAGTCAGAACAGCGCGACGGCGAACGCGGCAACAAGATGGTCTCGGAGATCTACCTGACGCGCCTGCTGGCCACCAAGGGCACGCTGCAGAAGTTCATGGACGACCTGTTTGAGACCATCTTCAGCACAGCGCACCGCGGCTCGGCGCTGCCGCTGGCTATCAAGTACATGTTTGACTTCCTGGACGACCAGGCGCTGCAGCACGGCATCGTCGACCTCGACACGGTCCACACGTGGAAGAGCAACAGGTGAGGCGGCGGCGACGGTCTGGTTCACCCGGTAACCTCCTGGGAGACATTGGTGCGGCGGGCGAGAGGAGGGCTATGGCCCAGCCCAGCCATGTGATGCCAAGTGCTGGGAGGACTGGGAACGGGAGGCTTATCCCTCACATGGGACAGGCGGAGGCGTGACACAGAAAGTGAAGGTCTTGTTGAACACCGCTGATGCTAGATATTGCGATGAGTTCAACGTTTTGTTGTGTTGTGGGAGACGCAGTCGTGCCTTTTGTCATTTCATTGCACGCCATTCAGGATCTGTTAAGTGCCATTCACAATGATCGCTCACACCAATGTGTCCACTTTCAGTTTACCGCTACGGTTCTGGGTCAACCTGATCAAGAACCCCAACTTCGTGTTCGACATCCACAAGTCGAACATTGTCGACTCGTGTTTATCGGTGGTGGCCCAGACCTTCATGGACTCGTGCTCCACATCTGACAACAAGCTCGGTACGAGAACAGACCCTGTCGTCAACCTGCCCTTAGACTACTAGTGTCAGCAGTAATATTTATGGAAGGAATTCGTACTGAACATTAGCAGGGGACGCCCAAGCTGATAGCCTTTCAGCATTTTGAGCTCTTACGCGGAAAAGGACCGACTTTCAGGATGCGGTGAGGTGCTGGTAACGACGAAGTCAGTTGACCAATGGGATATATGATGCGAATACTGGACGTTTTAAGGCAGTGCTTACGGTCATGACTGAATAACGTAAAGCAAACAGAAGTGTACAACTGAAGCACATAAAAGAAAGGCAGTGTTCAGAACCAACGGAGTCCCAGTAGATTAAAGTTATCACTGTAATAGATCACGAAAGCTCTCACATCTTGAAAACCGATACACGTTTCCGGGGTTAAAGATGTCCGAAACACAGACAGCCAAGCCGAAGAATATCCGAAGCAGGCAGCCAAGCTGAAGGTTTCGATGACCCGCGCCAGATGTAGCGTTAGATCGCAACCTGCCGCAGGACATCAGTGCTCAAACCAATAGTTTGCGAGCTTTTTCTAAATCCACGATACCTGAAAGGCAACGGCAATGCCGCTGAAATTAGGTCTTAAGACATTTTTGTCCTTAACCTCGATAGAACCTCTTGATCTTCATGGAACTTGGCTTGATCGGTGTTTTTATGTTAACTATATTTAGAAATACGTAGTTGTTGTTGCCCTGAGGAATGGATGTCGTGCAGGGAATTACACTTGTACTTAACAGTCAGTTGCTGGTCATGGAGACGGCTTGGATTAGGCGCCTGTGTTTCGGGCAGGCCCCATACTGGTGTCGTGCATGGGATGCTGTGGTGTGGGAGACTGAATAACTGCTTCGATGTTCGTGGCCAGTGTGTCCATAACCTAATACTTGGTACAGGTCATCAAGACCTTTCTACAAAGTCTTTAGTGTTTTGGACAGCCTTTGGCATAATACCATGTATTGGTTGTGAGGATGTGATAGCATATGTAGTATTGTTTTTATTGCTAGTGCTTGCACAGATTCAAAACATTTTCTGTCTTCCGCGTGGCTTGTTGTTTATTGTTAGCTCTTGCTTGTTGTTGTTCAGTGATGACCAGGAGTACTGCCTTGAAACATCGAGTATTCTAATAATATTATGAATTCAGAGATTGCATGCCAACGGTTGCCGACGACATGAGGCTTACAACATACCAGGAAGTACTTGTGCAAGGTACTCGTGCGTTATCAAGCAAACTTTGGCCATATTTTCAATACTCGGCGCTTCAAACATGTTCATGGTCTCGTTTCGGAGCCCTGTTTGAAATGTCGAGTGACTGCTTGTGTGCCTGCTTGTCTGTATCTGCTTGTCTGCTTGATAACGTTGTTTAATCGGCGCCTTTCAATATTTTGAAGGTCGATAATTGTCAGCATCAGAACTCTGAACTGGTGATGCCGAAAGGGCAGACGTTCAATGTGATTCTTGCTTATATCAAATATTCTCATAGTATATGATTATGGCCTGACTACATCACTTAAGTAGTACTACCTGGCAGGTCGAGAATCGGTTATGTTCAGCACAAGAACTTGTTAGAGGAATTCGGGCCGTCTATTTCACTGTATTTACATCTGCGTAACTTTGACTCCGGGCTTTAGTTTTCATACATGCCTAAACATATTTATTGATGTTTGTCTACTGATACCCTGTCACATGCGTTATTGTCAAAAGCAATTTGATGACGGGAAAATGAAGTGCCAACTTGTAATTAGCACTAAACGATATGCCCCCCCCCCCCTTATCACCTTTGTTTTGATTTTAGGCAAGGACTCGCCGTCTAGCAAGCTGCTGTACGCCAAAGACATCCCCGTCTACAAGGAATGGGTGACGAAGTACTACGACGACATCAAGATGATGCCAGCCATCTCTGACCAGGACATGAACGCCATGCTGGCAGAGGAGAGCAGGGTGAGTCTGGCATCCCGTCAGTGGCGTCAGCGGCTGCTCAGCAGATCTGGACCAGATCCGGTGCTTCCGAGGACAATTGGAGAGAACTTCAGACCCCTTCACCGAATAGCTGCCATTGGCAAGATGGCGCTTGGTAACAGGGCAGCGCGCCAGTTTGAGAGCTTTCCAATCTTGGAAGCTACTTGAAGGCAGTGAGAATTCGGTGGATTGCTGTGGCGAATGGCCTCTTCGGGCGAAATGTGTTCCGGTGTGCGCCCGCTCCTCATCGCCTCCTTACGAAGCCTGGTCGCTGCTCGGTCTGGACATGGTCCGCTAAATTTCATCTCACCCCAGTGTTCTGGCCCTCGGCTCGGACTCCCCCCCCCCCCAGAAGATAACTCGCTTCGCCTGAACCGGCTGCCGGCGCGACGTCGTCGATACCCACGCTGGTGACCATGTTCCCCGCCCGCCCCGCCCCCAGCTGCACCAGCAGGAGTTCAACACCAACTGTGCACTGCACGAGCTGTACGCGTACGCCGTCAAGTACAGCGATCAGCTGATGGCTAACCTGGAGGAAGATGAGTTCTCCAGCCGACAGAGGCTGGCGCTCAAGCTGGAACAGGTACGCGGCCGGCCGGTGCCCCTTCGATCGTGGATCATAACTCAACTCAATGTGAAATTTGCAATCCACTTCGGGCCTTGCGGGGCACTTGACGCTTGGGCGAATGTTCGGCTAACAGTGGGTGGCCATTAAGTAAAGCATTGGGATTGAGCCCCCAATTGGTTTTTTTCATCAATGTTGGCAATGCAACTGATCGCAATAGGACTTTTAATTGGACTAGATATTTGCTACCTTCGGCTCAGTTCCACGCGACAGCTCGCCTGCACCTCGCATCTGTATATCGATTACGTCCACCGGGACCAAAAAAGGCTTCCTACGCCGCCTGCTACTTCGTATTGCGTCACGCGCAGGGAATCCCCAGCAGGAGTTGATGGCGGTCGGACATGATCGCTGCCTGCCGTGCGGGGCGCTGACGCTGCCTGCCGTGCGGGGCGCTGACGCTGCCTGCCGCGCGGGGCGCTGACGGTGCACAACGTTCCAGGTTCACAAGATCATGGCTGGCGAGCCCGATCCCTGACAATTACAGTCGGGCGTGCTGGAGTGGACCGGCTGGAACGGCGAGTGGCAGTAGACGCACATAACTACCGAGCGCGGCGGGCAGAGCTGCGGCGCGGGCAGAGCGCGCGCGCGCCCGCCGCGCACCCCGTTCCAGCCGGCCGCTGCGGCCGCCAGAGGACGGCGCTGATCTCACCGGGCGGCCGCGCTCCGGCCCGCTCCAATCAAAAGCGAGCCTCACCGTGCGCGGGTCTGCGGCCGCGCTCCACGGTCGGGCGCCCACTGTCGGCCGGACAGACGCCGGCGAGGTCTGGAGCCGCACTAGATGATTGTGATACTTGCTCTAAATATCAAATGTCTGTTTTCTATGGCGTGCGCGCGCCCCGTCTGGGCGTCGGTGTGTCTGTGTGCGCGCGTGTGCTTGTCGCGGTGTCTGTGTCGCCGTGTGGCGCCATCGTGGCCCGGTGCCGCCCTCGGGCAGCGTGGTCGGATGTCCCTCTCAACGTGCCTGACTGTTCGTGTGTCGCTTGTCCGCGGCAATCTTCCAAGCCTGCGCCCGCGCCTGCCGCGTCGAGAAGATTCCTCGACCTCTCCATTTCTGCTGATGCGGACCCTTTCGTCGCCGACGGGAAAAAGCGTTGCTGATCGGGGTGGGCGCGCTCTTTTTTGCTGACGAGAGGCAGACATCCGCCATTGTCACAACGTAAGCCGAGTTATTGGCATCTTTTACGTAAGCCTGCTTACTCCGCATTTAAATCGACGATGTCATATGTTATTTCGCTGTTCTATGGCGCCGTAACGTACCCTGCGCGTCCAACCGTCACGCGTTGCCGTTACGTACCCAGGACGGCGTCCAAGTGTACCTTGCGCAGCACTCGTGCCGTGCTGTGCGTGCTTGTTTCGGCGGGGCGGACGACAGCGTCCCGTACTTACCCGCCCGGCTCCCGTGCCATCATTTGTAAATAGCTGAGGATGTTCAGTCATGACACAGCAATATCGCCGCCCACTCGGGGTTGGCTTGTATTCGTTCATGTTCATTTTTTTCACGAGCGCGCTCCAACGAATCCCGCGTCCGCCGTCTGTTTTGTTAACAAGCTGCTTTTTCCATCGCTGGGGAGGTTTTGTATTGGATGTTCTCAGGTATGCCGAGTGACTGGGGTTTTATATATGTTTTATCCTGCGTCAGCTGTATCATGATGTCGGCGAACTCGGCGCTGATATCTCATCGATGCCGCGGGATGGCTTTGTGCGCTGCACGTACAGAAATCAGCATTTATGCGTGCCGACGGAATGGGTTTTGTAACATGGAAGCGGATTGGTTGTTTTTTACTGGATCTAGTCTCGCAGCCAATCCGCGTGAGTGACTTTCACGCGCATCGTGACAGCGCCTGGTGTCAACGGTGCTGCGTGAAGAATGGTTATTGTTACATTATGAATGTATGTGTTTGTATTTGTGTACATCACGCTCATTGCGAAAATACATTTTTCAATGAACTCATCTGCCATTCGAAAGTGTTCGTAGGCATTTAAACATGATAATGGGACACAGTTACCCTGGACGAGAACGGGACACAGTTGCCCGGACTTTACGTGTTGGCAGCTCCAGCGACGAGAGCCTGTGTGGCGTCTGAGTATCATTTTCTCGTGAGATTTGCAATTATAAAATGATGCGAATTGTCACGGAGCAGCATCGTCCTGTCCCTCGAAACACCTGGCACCGCTGACGGCGGCGCGATGAAACATCCCGGGTCAGGCCGCGCTGGCATGGTGGAAAAGGCATGGCTGCCCTGGGAATGGGAACCGATGCTGCCGAAGCCAGATGAGGTGCGTGGGTTTAAGAGTGGCGAACAGCGCTTAATGGTGATCGTGTTACCATAGTACGGCTGTGAGTGCGTCACGGGGACGGCGGTGCTGCGACAGACGTGTGTGCCGCGCGTCTGTGGTGCCGCTGATCAAGCCACTTGCGATAATCGTTCAGCATGACCGCGGCCCGCATATGGTTTTCGCGCAGCCGTGATGATGTATGCCAACTTCACAAGCTGTGCCAGCTAAAAAAGAAGCTTATGTCTTAAAAAGTTCTCTTGCTTTCCACTGATGATTCATTTCAAGTATAAACCAATACAAATGTGATATTTTGAAAGTCATGTGCTCGTTTGAAGCCACAATGATTTTCAAAGCTACAGAACATCCATTTTCCCTTTTCGGTGGGAACAGAGCATTCGTTTTTACATCTTTTGAGCGGCGTATCTTTTCTGTATCTGTGGTGTGGCTTTTCATCAGCATAGATGGTACGTGGTTTCCAAACAAACATAAACAAGGCATCACAAGCTTCGTCTAGTGCCGGTTCAAAAGCGTGTCCAGCGCCGCCCAGCCGCTCGTGTCTCTCAGAAATGTGTTAGTGCTCGGGTACACACGCTCTCCATAAAGACCGGCACCCCATCAGGAGGCGGCCAGGAGGCGGTTTTACCCGCCGCCTGCCGCAGCCCGTCAGCGTCGGGTACACGGAATCGATAGCCGGAGGGCGTGCGGCCCGGCCACGCGCCGCCGGCAGTAGGCAGCGGTCGGGCCAGCGCCGAGCACGGCCGGCCGGCGACGCACGCGGCCGCGACGCGTGCCCGGCGGCGGAGGAGGTGCTGGGGGTCCAGGGCTCGGCCCAGCCCTGACGGTGAGCACGTGGGGCGGCACTCGTGCGGCGCTTCTCAGGCAGCTTTCCTCGTTGATGGTCAGTGACGTTTTGGTCAACACCGCCACTTTCTAGCCGTTTTTTCGGCAGTGTGCTTAGTTATAGAGCTCTCTGTGGTTTGCAGCGACATGCGATGTGTATGACTCACTATGATGATTCTGTAACGGCATGGACGGGCGATGGACGTATCTGCTCCACCGCCACGCATCTTGATTGCCTTGGGATCTATAAGTCCATACGTCACGGTTTAACGTCGTAGTGCGGTGAATCTAGGCAAAATGTGATTACGCTGCCATCTCTCGCTCAACGGCTTTGATTAATGTGCAGCATGGACGAGGAAAACGCACGGTCTATAACTAACCACAGCACAGCCATCGGCGAGCACTAAGCCCTACCGACTTTTGCGAAGAGACATTGTAGAGGCAATTCACCAACAACGCGCTGAACTTGTTGCATAAAAGGAATGTCTTGTAAAAAAATCGGTGTCACCGAATCTTTTACCAATGACGGAGGTCCTGGATGGACCAGGATACACTCAGCACGGTTTCTATGAAATCTGACGATGAATAACTAAAACATGGTCACCTTGTCGTTGCATCGTCGTCTACGTTGCGTTAAGGTCACCAAAGTTATGTTACATTAAGGGGATGCTTTCATCAATCGCTTGCTCGACATCGTGTCATCAGCCGCCAACATAAATGCTGACCGTCACCTTGGTTTATGTCACCAACGAGCCGGAGACAACCCGTATGGCTCTCACCTCAGTTGGTGGCGACAATGGACGGTGTATTGGGTTGCATTTGTGATACAAACTGGTGCCTAACCTCTCGTTTGTGATACAAACTGGTGCCTAACCTCTCGTTTGTGATACAAACTGGCGCCTAACCTCTCGTTTGTGATACAAACTGGTGCCTAACCACTCGTTTGTTGTCACGCGGGTGGAACCCCATCCGCATCCATCATCATTGCTGTATTCCATATGAGAAAAAGTAATAAATTAGACCAAAATGTCCTGTAATTTAAGGGGCTGAGGCTAACGGACAGCGGTGACGATTACGCCCGTTGACGTGGGGCAATGCCGGTATTGAGCTGTGCTTGCCAAAACAAGCAGCAGCATTGTGTGTCGGCTGGAGAGGGCAGCAGCACTGTGTGTCGGCTGGAGCGGGGAAGCGTCGTTTTTTATCTTTGAGGGGTCGGTTTCACTTAGCGTAAAATTCGGCTGGGATTGTACCGTCATGTCCCATACATCCATTACCACAACACCAGCATCCATCAGATCGTCGTTGCTTCCATCACCAACACCAAGCAATGCTACATCTACGTTGCAGTTTCGATGAATCGCAGAAGTGTTCGAGTGTCCGAACAACACAAAATTCAAGGCACGTCGGTGGGATTTACAAGTAGGCACAGTGAAAGATTCTGCTTGTGCCGTGCCTTTCAACCGAGCCTCATAAGCCGATGACTTTGGATGGATACGAAGCTGCAAAAGTTTTTAGTTATGAACGCAGAAATTAACCTTGTTTGCGCCTTGCTAAGTTGGTATTCGGCAAAACCGGTTTTGTTCAGGAGTCTGCAAAAACTGAACGTCCCTTTCCCCAAAAGTGCGAGTCTGTCCGAGATTACGGATGAAGTATATTACTGCATACACAAAGGGTGCATGAACTTCACCTTGCAATTTTCTGCTTGAATAAGGATGTGGTCAAGCAAAACACAAGGACTTAGAAATTGGCCGTTCCAATGAGATAGGCTCGCAGCTTAAGCCGGCAAAACGGACATCAGCTTCGGCAAAAACACTGAGAGGTAACTAAAGCCATTGCCGACACTCGTTGAAGTGGTTTGATAACTGTTCACCAATGGCGAAAATGGCATAACATGATGACGTGAGACCTGGACTGAGTCCTAAAACTGGCAATGCACCAGCATAGAGATAACAACTGCTCTACAGCAACGGTTATCAACGCACAGCCTTCTACCCGCAGCTGCGCTATGGGCTTAGGCCTGACCAACAGCGAACTGCGACCAGGCGAAAATTGCAGGATTCACAGTTATGTTCCTGAGCCTGCGCTGAACCAAGGCCCTCGAACCACCGCGCTAAACCTGCCTCTGCTTTTATCTTGATGTCGGCTGTTTGGATAATTCAATGCTTAGCTCGCTTCAGGTTCTGTTGCGCCGGAGCGCTTTGTTTGCATTATTAAAAGGTCGGCAGCGGAAAGCGATGCGGAAATAGAACAGGCACAGAATTCGGTATCAAGGTAGACTCCCGGGACGACTAATGGTGGACAATGGAGCTGCTAGCGCGCAGCGTTTGTCTTCTGTCTCTGGCGGACAGCTTTTTGAAGACGACTAACCACGCTGTCACGTACATAAGAAATGTGTTATAACAGCAAGAACTTGGACATTGTCGTTGAATATTATGACATTAGGAATAGTGTCTTTTGTTAACTGCGCAGCCTCATTTGAATCGGTGTATGGCATCAACACATACGCAACGTACGGTGGAACTGAGGTGAGCTGCCAAAAGAAAAAAAAACACCTGTGTCAAATGGACGGAACGTTGCCCAATCCGATTCGGCCGGTTAATTCTGATAAACCGAACTTTTACGTATTGTCGATTAAACGGCAGATCCGCACTTAAGCTCTTATGATTATCGAAGTCATAAATGCAGAGTGTTGGAAGGTGTTATGCCATCATAAAAGTCATATTCTTTTCCAAAATGCGCGCCCTCCTGCATGAGCTTGAAGAGCTCACACCTGCCAAATATTCATGGATGTCCGAGGGGCATTTCAGACATTGCAGCCTATGTATTTCATCACGCGATGGGTGGTTGAAAATGCATGCAAAATGCGACATGTGATAGCTTGTAGTACGGCTTCTCACGAGCCGTTTCGATCATTATCAGAGCATCTTGTCGGAGTTCTCCCGTAGGCAGTCACTTTTGCTTGAAGCTGACGCAGGCGTTTTGCAGTTGTAATCGCTTTGCAGTCTGTTTTAAGTGTTGTGAATAAGTGCGATGGTCTGCACCCTCACTATTGTGACCGTTGGACCGACTATTTTGACCCGCTTTGACCTTGAGCACAGTCACTGCTTCACGCATTGGCGTGCCTATGGGCTCTATCGTCTACCGTTCTTTTTCAGACTTAATGATCCAGGGATAGCTTAAGGCAGTTCGAGACTGCCCAACTAGAACACTACACGGAATACAGAGCTCTTCTTCTCATGGGCCAGGCCGCAGGTCGAGGAAGCGTTAGAGGGATATTCGCTTGTACACAACTAAACTATGTCTAGTGTTAGTATTTGAGCCCATTCATGGCACTTTTGAACTGCGACTTGTTCCAGCGCGTGTGCCGGCGGCCGGGGAAGGACGGTGTCTTTAATGTCGGCCTCAGCTGTCTTCTCTAGACTGCGGCTGCTTGGTCAGCTTTCTGGTGATGTCGAAACCCTGTCCTGCCAACTGGCATGCGTTGGTTGACAGTCCCGTCCGAGGAGAAGTGGCTACTGAAACCAAACCATGGCTACCAAATGATGTTTCAAAGGTCCAGATGTCAGACCGTCTATTTCCGTTGCATCCCCGTCGTGCATTTTTGAATTATCTTATGCTAATTATTATCCAAATTTCTCGGCTGTTTGTACATCCGTCTGCGCCGTGCACAGCCTAAAGAAATGCACTCAGGCAGACGAACAGACGTGCGCTATGAAATTCATCGGATTAGACAAGTGGCTGGCATAAGGAGCCTAAGGCTCTATGCGTGCGAAGGCACTAAATGTTGAGTATAGTGGCCTTGAGGAGCTACCCTGTTAGCGTCAGTACCACC